CAGAATATCACAGGTATAAAGGTCCAAAATGTCTACACTTATGCAATTTGAGAAGGTGAGAAATTTGACATGAAGAATGGAATGTTTTAGCACCATATCTAGATAGTCATACATCCTCATCTAATAAACGTGAAAAAACAAGAGTACGCGGCAGCTACAACATATTTCTTTTTCCTTCTTCTTTTTCCTTTGTTGTAGGTAATTACAATTCATTTTATGTCCTATTTCCTTTATTGTGCTAATTTTTTTTTATTGAAACATATCGTACATACTTTGATATTGAAATGTAACAAAATAGCCCTTGATTGTGATGGCTTTGCCTTTATTATTTTGAGAATATAGTGGGCATATTTACAATGGGTCTTCCAGCTCATGAAAATGTCTTGTTATGCATTTTTTCATTTCTCTCAATAATTTTTTGTATTTTAAGTATTTGTATCAAAGTTTTTCACATCTTTGATTTATCCATAGGTACCTGATTCTTTTTGATACTATTGTAAATGGTATTATAAACATAACCAGCACTCCAGAAGACTCCTGGTACAAATTCACAGTAATTAAACCACCAAGGTAACCACAACTGTGACTTCCAGCATCATTGATTGGTTTTATTTTTATTTTTATGGAACTTTATATAAATGGGATCAGAAAGTCCGGTATACATGCTTCCTTCTCACAATCAAATTTATAAAGCAACTCACCTATGTTATAGCTATGAAAATACTCTCCAATTTTGGAGGGAGGTTTTAATAATTTACCTTTCTCATTTAGATCTTCAATCCATCTGGAATCTTCAGTCCATCTGGAATTAATTTTTATATATGGTGTGAGATGTGAGAAAAAGTTTAATTCAATTTCTTCTTCTGGATATTCATCTGACCCAGCATCACCTACTGAAAATGTGAAGGTTCATTTTTTTTTTCCATAGATATACCCAGTTTATCCAGTATCATATACTGAAAATATGAACCTTTCTTCATTGCATTTCAGTGGCACTTTTGTTATAAATGGTGTGATTTTTTTTACATGCATGTATCATTCTGGATTCTTTTTGGGGTCTCTCTGGACTATTTATCCGATTATGTCAATGCCACACAGTTTTACTATAGTTTTGTAATAAAGCATAATATCTGGTAGTTTAAGTCCTCGTGTTTGTTCTTCAGGCTTGTCTTTGCTACTCTTTACTCTTTGAATTTCTACATTCATTTTTAATAAACACACACACACACCCCTGCAGAGATTTTGATTGGTATTATGTTGTATGTACCATTTGAGGGGCATATAGTTGATAGTCAATGTCTTTAAACAATGAGTCTTCCAATCCATAAACATAGTACATTATTGCCTTTACTTGTTCTTTTTCCTTTATTTCAGTAACGTTTGTTTTGTAATTTCAGTGTAGAGGTTTTCCACATCTTTCTTATGATCTATTCCTATGTATTTGCTATGTTTGATGCTATTTTAAAGATAATATTTGAGTATTTCATTTTCTATTTGTTAATTTCAAACCCATCCTAAATTGGCCAACCAACAGAATCAAGAGCAAAAAATATATATGAATTTTTGTCATGGAGTTTTGAGCTGATTTTTAGTCTGCAATAACCAACTGATACAACTCCCCTTATCAGTTTAATGAAATTTCCCATTATTTCCCCAGTTTGCCAATAGATTTTTTAAAAAGAAGTAGACAATGATTTAATCAATATTTTTCTACATCTAATCAGATAACCCCATGTTTTCCTCCTTTATCTTATTAATGCAGTACGTTATATTGATTGATTTACAGACATTACACCACTCATCTTACTAGAACAAACACTACTTTCTGCATTACTGCATTAATTTTGCTGATATTTCATTTCAGATTTTTGTGTCTATGTTCTTTAAATAAATTTGCTTACAAATTTCCTTACTTGAAATGTCCATGCCTTGTTTTGGTATCAAATTATGTTTGCTATTAAAAAGTTTTGGGAAATATTCCCTCTATTTCTATTCCCAAAGGTTTTTGTAATAATAATGATATTGCTTCCCTAAATTTTTGGAAGAATTCAAAGTCCTTTGGACTTTGAGTTTTCTTAGTGGAAGTTTAAATTGTGAATTCAATTTAATAAAAGATATAGAACAACTTACCTTTAATTTTCTTTCTTGTGTCACTTTCAGTAAGTTGTGGTTTGCAAGATATTGGTTCATTTAATATAATTATAAGCTTAATAAATTTTCCATATCTATCAAATATAGATATAACCTTTATTTCTTTAATAAGTTGTACTATCTCTTTTATTTTTAAATCAAGAACAGTTTTATTAGGTTATCAATTTTAATAGTATTTTCAAACAATCAAATTTTTTTCTTTATTTTCCCTAACAATTTGTTTTCTGTTTTATTGATTTCTGCTTTTACTTTTCATTATTTCCTTGCTTCTATTTTATATTTAATTCATTTTTTCAGCTTCTCATGGAAGTTTATAGTGTTAATTTTTCAGATTTTCTTCTCTTATTATTGCATATCTACTAATTTATTCTCTAAGCACAGCTGTAGTAGCATACAAAAGACTTTTATGTAATATTATTATTATATTTTAGTTCAAAATATTTTCTGATTTCCATATAATTTCTTCTGTGGCACATGGATGATTTACAAATGCATTGTTTAATATGCAAAGTTTGGGGATTTTACTGGTTATCTTTCTATTTTTATTATTTGTTTTTTTAATTTCCAGGTTAATTGCATTTTTGTCAGAACATACGTTTTATGACTTCATTTTCAAATTCTTTGAAATTTGTTAGGACTTGCTTTGTGGTCCAGCATGTGATGACCTATTTTGCGAAATGTTCTATGTACACTTGAAAAGAATGAATTTTGCAGTTGTTTGAGCGCAGCGTTTGTGTGTGTGTGCGCACATGTGCGTGTGTGTGTAGAGAGAATTACATATATTACATATTATATATATTTCATATAACGTATATATACAACATCAAGTTGTTTAATGTTGTTTACGCAGTTAAAATTTTAATACCCACACTGAATTTTTGTCTGCTTCACCTATTATTCACTGAATAAGTTATATATAAGTATCAAATTATGAGTGTGAATTTGTCTCTCTGTCCCTTTTTATCAGTTTTGAGAATATAGAATTAGTGGTGTACAAATTTAGGCCTTGTATACTTTCTGTTGAATATCTCTATTAATAATCACTTCCTTAAATATTTGATATTAGTATAGTTTTACAGCTTTATGTTGGTTACTATTTGCAGTATTCATCTCTTCCTCCCTCTTTCTTTCAACTATTCTATATCCTTACATTAAAGATGCACTTATGTAAGCAACATTGTTGAAGGAGGTATTTGAGAGGTCATGACCTCTGGTTGATCTGTGAGCTGGACCCTGGCAATCCGAGGCTCCTCACCCTCTCCCCTGTCCTTTGAATATACATTCCACCCACAGTTCCCACACTAGGAGTGTTCCAAGGATGCAACCTTGCAAGAGCAAGGTGTTGTTGAGACCATCTGGACTGTGTACACTACTGAACCCAGTCAAGGCCCCTATTTAATCTTTTAAGATTCTGGTGGGCCGGTGCAGAGATCTACTCATCTTGTGGCCACCCAGGGCAAGACTCACAGTTCCTTTGCTTATTAAATCTGCCACCTACCAATCTGGAGAGGCCCGCCTCTTTCTTCAGTTTCTCCTTGCCTCCCTGCAAAAGAACCAGTTTCAGATTTTACCCAGGAACTCCCGATGCTGCAAACCAACAAAATGTATAGTTGTTTCATTTTTTAATCCAATTTTTATGATTAATATTGTCTATTAAACTTAGATGTATCTCTACCAGCTTACTATTTGTTTTTTAATTTGTCCCATCGGTTCATTGTTTCTTCTTTTTATATTTCTTGCCCTTTCTGGATAAAGTATTTTTATTTTTCCACTCCTCATCCTCTATTAGCTTGCTAATAATACATTCTGTTATTATTTTTATTGTTGTTAAGGTTCTTTTTTATTGTGGTAAAATATATATGACATAAAATTTACCATTTTTAAGTGTACATTTCAGTGACATTAATTATATTCACAATGTTGTACAACCATTACAAGCATCCATTTCCAGAACTTTTTTATCGTCCCAAAACAAAATTTCATACTCATTAAACAATAATTCCTCATTCCCTCTTCCACCCAGTTCCTGACAACCATCATTCAACTTTTTATCTGTATAAATTTGACTACGTTAGGTACTTCACATAAGTGACTGTCTTATCTCAGTCAGTATCAATATAATGTCATCAAGGTTCAACCATGTTGTAGTACATGTGAGAATTCCCTTCCTTTTTAAGTCTGAATAATATTTCATTGTATGTATACATCACATTTTGTTTATCCATTCATCCATCAATGGACACGAGTTGCAGCCACTTTTTGACTATTGTTAATAATGCTATTATGAACATGAGTGTACAAATATCTGTAAGTCTCTTTTTTCAATTCTTTTGGATATACACCCAGATATGGAACAGATATGTTACATGACACAATTATGTTTAATTTTTAGAGGAACGACCATACCATTTTTCACAGCATCTGCACCATCTTACATTCTTACCGGCAATATACAAGATTCCAATTTCTTCACATCCTCATCAACACTTGTTAGTTCTGCTTTTTTCATAATAGCCATTCTAATGGGTATGGTATGAAGTGGTATATAATTATGGTTTTGATTTACATTTCCACAATGATTAGTGATGTTCACCATCTTTTCATGTGATCACTGGTTATTTGTATGTCTTCTTTGGAGAAATGTCCACTCAAGTACATTGCTCATTTTCTAATGGGTTATCTTTTTTATTGTTGAATTGTATCATTATTCTTTTCATTGTTATGTTAGAAGCTATGATATGTATCCATGCCTTACTGGATTTCATATTAAATTCATACTTTACCACTTTCTAGTCAATGTAATGGCCTTATGGCATTTACTCTCCTTAATTTTTATACTATTTTATTATGACTTTTAATTCTGCATTTGTGTGGTTTAAAAAATACAAATATTATTATTACTAATTTATTATTACATTAAGCAGTCTGTTTTAATTTAGATCTCCCTATGTAGCTATCAATTCTCATGCTCTTCATTTCTGACTGATTTACTGTGTTTCCATCTAAAATAATTTTAATTCCGCCCCAAAATTCCATGTAGTATTTCCTCAGTATGGGTGTAGAGATGAAAGATTTTCACTGTTTCTCTGAAAATGTCTCTACTTTCCTATATTCTTAAAGAATATTTCTTTTGTGGAATAATATTCTAGTTTGATAGTTATATTCTTTCAGCTCTTTAAAAATGGCATCAGTGTTTTCTGTCTTTCATTGTTTCTGTTGCAGAGCTAGATATCAATCATATTTATGGTCCTTTGAAGGTAATGTATTCTTTCTCTTTGGTTGCTTTTAAAGTTTCTCTTTTTTATGGTTTTCAATAATCTTACTATTATGTGAATAAGTATCAGGTTTTTTTTTAATTGGTTTGGGGTTCATAAAAGTTTCTGAACCCATAGCTCAAGGTCTATAATGAATGTTGGAAAATTCTATACCATTATTTGTTAAAACATATATATATACATTTATATATATTTTATTTTATTTATATACATATTATATATTATGTATATAAATATATATATATTATATACATATTTATATATATATATGTTTTATTTTCTTTTGGTGACTCCAATTGTATGTATGTTAAAACTTTTCATTTTAACCCACAGTTTTGTTTTGTTCTTTTCATAGCATTTATTTTGTTTTCAATTATAGAATTTCCATTTTATACTTCTTAATAGATTCAATTCTCTGATGATATTCTTCAGCTTTTACTCTAGTTTTTGAATGTATTGGTAACACACCTTTTGTTGTTGTTATTTTTTAATTTTTATTTTCATTTTTATTTTTTAATTTTTATTGGAGTATAGTTGATTTACAATGTTGTGTTAGTTTCAGGTGTACAGCAAAGTGAATCATTTATACATATGCATATATCCACTCTTTTTTTTTTAGATTCTTTTCCCATATAGACCATCACAGAGTATTGAGTAGAGTTCCCTGTGCTATGCAGCAGGTTCTTATTAGTTATCTATTTTATATATAGTAGTGTATATATGTTAATCCCAATCTCCCAATTTATCCCTTCCCTCTTATCCCCTGGTAACCATAAGTTTGTTTTCTACATCTGTGACTCTACTTCTGCTTTGTAAATGAGTTCATTTGTACCCTATTTTTTTAGATTCCACATATAAGCGATATATATGTGTCTTTCTGTGTCTGCCTTACTTCACTCAGTGTGAAAATCTCTAGATCCACCACTAATAGAGAAATGCAAATCAAAACTACAACGAGGTATCACCTTACACCAATCAGAATGGCCATCATTAAAATGATCTAAAAGCAATAAATGTTGGAGAGGGTGTGGAAAGAAAGGAATCCTCCTACACTGTTGGTGCAAATGTAAATCCATAGTGTTTGTATGGAGAACAGTATGGGGGTTCCTTTAAAAACTAAAAGTAAAACTACCATATGACCCAGCAGTCCCATTCCCGGGCATATATCCAAAGAAACCATAATTCAAAAAGATACATGCACCCCAATGTTCATTGAAATACTATTTACAATAGCCAGGACATGGAAGCAACCTAAATGTCCATCAAGAGAGGAATGGATAAAGAAGATAGAAGATGTGGTATATATGTGTATATATATATATATATATATATATATATATATACAATGGAATATTACTCAACCATAAAAAGGAACAAAATAATGTCATTTGCAGCAACATGGGTGGACCCAGAGATTGTCATACTGAGTGAAGTACATCAGACAAAGTAGCATACCTTTTTAATTCCAGGTCTGATAATTCTATAGCTGTAGTTATATGATCTGTGTTTATAGTCTGCTTTGATTCCCACATTTGTTTTATCTCTTTCCCTTTAAAAATCAGCTATATATCTGGGAAAGGACGATATATGATATATAGTTGTAAATAATTTTTGAAAGAGAGCATGGATTTCCAAAAGACTGGCTCACAGTTAAAAAAGCAAACAAACAAAAATCCACAACAGGTGTTTAAAAGAACTGGAGCTAAGAGAAACTACAATATAAGATTAACAAAGTTACTAAATTTGCAATTAATCTTATCCTGGTGAGAAAGAAGTAATATTTTCAGATGATCAGTCTAACTATCTATCTAAAGAAATTTACTATTAGGAATTGGCTCACTTGATTACGGAGGCTGAGAAGTCCAAGATCCACAGTCAATAAGCCAGAGACCCAAGAAAGTCAACAGTATAGTTCTAGTCCAAGTCTGAAAACCTGAGAACCAGAAGAGCCAGTGCTGTATGGTCTTGTCTGAGTTCATTCCAAAGGCAGGAGAAGACCAATGTCTCAGCTCAAAGACAGTTTGGCAGAGAGAAAGAACTATTTCTTACTCAGCCTTTTCTTCTAATCAGGCCTTCAACAAATGAACACCCCCCACAGACATACCCAGAAATAATGTTTAACCAAATATCTGGGGTCTTGTGACCCAATCAAGTTGATACATAAAATTAACCACCACATCAAAAGTTGGGGTTCTTTTAAAAATTTTTTTAGACTTTTTAAAAAGCTGAGTTATAATTACCAGGGTTTTGTTTATTTGAGAGGAAGTGGATCTGGAAAGTACAACCCTGGGTATAAAGTTACTTGTTTGTTTGTTTGTTTAGGCTGCCTAGAATGTGATGAGTACTGATTCATGACCCATTGTGAAGGGAAAGCAGTGTATCAGCTCTGCTTTGACGTGTCATTTACAAGCTTGCATCTGGCCCTAGAGCACGGTGTTTCTATGGGCTGCTAATTGACCCATTTATAATAGAGGAGAATCTTTGGCTATGACATCATTGACACTCTAGTTTATTAGTTTAAGAGTGATGGGGTGTCCAGATTAAATATTATATTGATTGCTACTATTTCTGTTTTATTACAAGCCTCCAAGTCACCTCAGGGAAGTATTTGGGTTTCTCTGCAAAGCAAACTCTAACGATGTTTTCAAAGATCTAATTAATCAAAATATTTATGTAAATACCCCCAAAAATAACAACAAAAAAGCAACACTATAGTAATAGTGCATCATGCTAAGATTATGTTGCCTTAGCGAAAGAGTTAAATAAATTAACTGAATTTATTTTAAATTAGATGAAATAGTTAAATGAATTAAGTTTTATAAATTACCTGTTTTCAAACTTTAAAGTATTATATATTTTATATAAAATTTTATTATAAAATTATTATAAAATAATTTTATAGCATAGTATATTTTATAATACATTAAAATCACAAATTTTATCATAAAAATTTCATACAATATATATAATTAACTTTAGAATATTATTCTTCTATTAAAATTAAGGAAATTTTATAATAAAATCATAAAACTTTTAAAATTATCAATATATACTATATATTTAAACTTTAGAATATTATTCTTCAATTGAAATTAAGGAAATTTCTATACTTGATAATGAGGGTTCATTATCTTATGGAAAAATATATTTCTCAAAGTTGTATTGTAAAAAAAAATTTGAAAGGATAAAATGTTCCATGATGAAATCACAACAAAACTTTCATATTAAAAATGACAGCTCTTATGTAAAACATTTCTTCAAGAATTTCAAATACTCTACTAAAATGTCTGACATTTCTATAAAACCATAGTAGATATTTTTGGTATAAAATAACATTACCTCAAGGAATTCCATAAACTGTTCCTCTTCACATCTGTTAACAAAGTTTTTGTCAAACATGGGTCATGAAATGTATCTCTGAAAGCTCCAACTCCTTCAATCAAAACTGATGATGTAAAGTTGTCATACAATATTACAATTGTGTCCCCACAAGGAAACTGAGAGAGTATTATTTCAATCCCTTTAAAATTCCAGACGAAGAAATAAATTTAGAGAAGTGAAAATGTGTGTTAGGTTTGTACAAATAATGGCAGAACTAGTCCTGAAAAATGCTACTCATTAGTTTTAAAATCTTTCCCACAGACACACATTTAAAAGAGAAGAATGGAACTTCGGATCAAGATGGCAGAGTAGGAAGATGTGGAACTCACCTCCCCCAATGGACACATCAAAAATACATCTGAATGTGGAAAAATTCTCACTGAAAACTAACTGTAAACTGTCAGAAACAGTACAACCAAGGCTGTAACAAAGATCCACACAGAATCAGGAAGGAAGGGAACAGAGCAATCAGGTTGGGACCATACCCCTGGGATGGGACTCAGAGGAAAAGGGAGAATACACTAGTGGAGATCTGCCCTAATTAGTGAGCAGTTTGAGCCATATATTTGGTGTCCCAGTCCTGGAGTCCAACATAGGGCAGAAAAGCCCCCTTGGCTGGCTGGAGGGCCACTAGAACTAACAGGAGGGCTATAGGAAGCCTGGACTCCATTTGTGAGGAACATGAGAGTGCTGGCTTGTTCCCAAGGCAGAGTAGATAAGGTGGATTGAGGACTACTCCAGTGGCTACCTGATTTCCTGTGACTGCCCTGGCACATGCTCAAGCCTGAGTGGAGCAAATACTTCAGCTCCACTTACTTCACCTCACAGCTCAGCACAAGGGCAAGGGCTACCAGAACCAGGGAGAGAGCTTGACCATGGAACAGAGAGACAACTTGGACCTGGGGTGGCATCTGATGCAATAGGGATAGCCATTGCTGATGCTTGCTCAGGCAGCTCACCAGAAGCAGCCCTGATCTCTGACAGCAGTTGGACCACCACAGCCGAAGCCCTGATATGCTGAGAGCCCAAGTGAACCCCACCTACTGAGAAGAGCATCTCCACAACAGGGCAGAGGCTGAGAAGACTGGGGAGATTCATTGGCTGTGAGGGACAAAGGAGACTCAGATGCAGTGGGGCTGCCATTACTGGCAATTGCACAGACACTGCATAAAACACAGCCTGAGCCTCTGTCTGTGGTTGAACCACCATAGCCCATGCCTCCTCATGAGCTGAGAGCCTGCATGGGCCCCTCTTGATCCAGCACTTCTTCCCTCTGGGACAAGGGTGCTGGTGCTGGGAGATGAGAGAGCACACACTTAAAGGAAAGAGAGTCAGCTCAGACCTGACCCTCAGAGCTTCTGCTCCATCAACTTGAGGTCTGACTCCACATCCAGTAGGGTGGTAACAGCCTCTGAGCACAGAGGAAGCCCCATCTCACATCTGGCTCTGGCTCTAGCTCCTCTATCTCTAGCTCCACCTCCTTCCAAGGTGATAGCTGACAACATATCCTGAGGAAAGATGTCTTCTTTTCATGTCAAATCCAGCTCTCCCACCAAATGCACTGGGCACATGCAGACCATGGAGAGTCCTACATAAGGATATCCCTTCAAGACTGCAATAGGAAAGTGTTTCACCTAAATTCATAGAGGTGGAGAAAGTTACACAAAATGTAAAGAGAAAGGAACTAGTCTCAATTGAAAGAGCAAGAGAAAACCCCTGAAAAAATGAATAATGAAAGAGAAGTAAACAATTTATCAGATAAAGAATTCAAAACATTAGTAATAAGAATGCTAACTGAATTCAGGAAAATAATAGATAAACACAGTGAGAATTTTAACAAGGAACTAGAAAATATAAAAAAGAACCAGTCAGAACTGAAAAATACAATAACTGAAATGAAAAACACACCAGAATGAAGGAATAACAGACTAAGCAATACAGAAGAATGTATAAGTGATCTGGAAGATAGATCCAATCAGAATAGCAAAGCTAAAAACAAATTTTCTGGGACAACATCAAGAGTACCAACATTCATATTATAGGGGTCCCAGAATGAGAAGAGAGAAAGAGGGGATGAAAAAGGTATTTGATGAAGTTGTGACTGAAAAAGTCTCAGACCTGAAGAAGGAAATAGATATCCAGGTACACGAAACACAGAGTCTCAAATAACATAAACCCAAACAGACCCACACCAAGACATCATAATTAAAATGGCAAAAGATAAAGATAGAATTCTAAAGGCAGAAAGATAAAAACAAAGAGTCATATACAAAAGAACCTCCATAAGGCTATCAGCTGATTTTTCTTCAGAAGCTTTGCAGGCTAGAAGGGAGTAGCATGATATATTCAAAGCACTAAAAGGGAAAAACTTGCAACCAAGGGTACTCTACTCAACAATATTATTATTTAGAATCAAAGGAGAGATAATGAACTTCTCATACAAGCAAAACCTGAAAGTCCATCAATATTAAACCCTCCCTAAAAGGACTGTTAAATGGTCTTCTCTAAGTGGATAAGAAAAGTCTATCACAAGAAGTATCTATAGGAAAAGAAATATCCCACTAGGAAAGGCAAATATATAGTAAGAGCTGAGGATCAATCACTTAAATAAACCATTATAAAGAGTAAAGGACAAAAAAATTATAAAAGCAACTATAACTAAAATAAACAGTGAAGAGATAAACACGAAGATGTAAAACGTAACATCAAAAACACAAAATGTAGGGGAGGGCAGTGAAAAAATAGAACTTTTAGAATGTTTTTGAACTTAAATGACTACCAATTTAAAACAAGTAGATATAGTTATATGCCAACATATATGAGTTCCATAGTAACCACAAATCAAAAATTTATAATAGATACACAAAAACTAGAAAGAAAGAAACACAAGCATATTATTAAAGAAAATAATCAAACCACAAAGTAATAAACAAAGAGAAGAAGAAATGAACAGAAAAGAGTTACAAAAAACACCAGAAAACAAATAATAAAATGGCAATAAGTACATACACTTATCAATAGTTACTTTAAATGTCAATGTACTAAATGCTCCAATCAAAAGACATAGGGTGGCTGATTGGATGAAAAAAGAAGACCCATATAAATGCTGCTTACAAGAGACTCACTTCAGAGCTAAAGGCACACACGGATTTTGAGCGAGGAGATGAGAAAAGATATCTCATGGGAATGGAAATGACAAGAAAGAGTGGGTAGCAATACCTGTATCATACAAAATAGACTTTTAAACACAGTCTATAACAAAAGATAAAGAAGGCCATTATATAATGATAAGGGTATCAATACAAGAAGAGGATTTGTAATTGTTAACCTATATGCATCCAATACAGGAACATCTAAATACATAAAGCAAATATTAACAGACACAAGAAGAGAAATTGACAATGATGCAATAATAATAGGGAACTTTAAGCACACTACTTACATCAATGGAAAATCAACCATACAGAAAATTAATAAGGCATCAGTAGTCTTAAATGACACAATAAAATGGTTGGACTTAATAGATATCTACAGGACATTCCATCCAAAAACAGAATACACACTCTTTTCAAGTGTGCACAGAATGTTCTCCAGGATAAATCACATGTTAGGCCACAAAAGAAGTATCAACACATTTAAGAGGATAGAACATATATCAAGCATTTTTTTTTCTGACAATGGCAGTATGAAACTAGAAATTAATTTCAGAAAGAAAAATGGGAAAAGCACAAATATGTGGAGACTATAAAACACGGTACTGAAAAAAGAAATGTGTCAATGAAGAAATCAAAGAGGAAAACAGAAAATATCTCAAGACACATGAAAATGAAAACACAACTTTCCAAAATCTATGGGATGCAGCAAAAGCCATTCTTAAGAGGGAAGTTTATAGCACACATGCTTTCCTCAAGAAATAAGAAAAATCTCAAATAAACAACCTAACCTACAATCTAAAGGAATTAGAAAAAGAAAACAAACAAAGCTCAAAGTCAACAGAAGGAAGGAAATTGGAAATAAATAAAATAGAGATAATAAAAAAAAAACTAATAGAAAAGATTGGTGAAACCAAGAGCTGGTTTCTTGAAAAGATAAAAAAAATTGATAAACATTTAGCCAGGCTTATCACGAAGAAAAGAGAGAGGACCCAAATAAACAAAGCAAGAAATGAAAGGGGGGAGGGAATTTCCTGGCAGTCCACTGGTTAGGACTTGGCACTTTCACTGCCAAGGCCCAGGTTTGATCCCTGGTTGGGGCACTGAGGTCCTACAAACAGTGCACTGTGGCCCCACGAAAATTTTAAATGTAAAAATAAAAGAAATGAAAGAGGGTAAAAAACAACGAATATCACAGGGATACAAAAAAATCATAAGAGAATACTATGAACAGTTATATGTCAACAAATTAGACAACCTATAAGAAATAGACAAATTTCTGGAAACATACAAACTGCCAAGACTGAATCAGAAAGAAACAGACAATCTGAACATACCAATCACTAGTAGTGAAATTGAATTTGTAATTAAAAAAAACTACCAGCATACAAAAATCCAGGACCAGATGGCTTCACATGGGAATTCCACTAAACATACAAAGAAGACTTAATGTCTATCCTTCTCAAACTATTCCAAAAAATTGAAGAGGAAGAAACACTCCCAAATTCATTCTATGAGGCCAAAATTACCCTGATACTAAAACCAGATAAAGAGACTACAAAAAAAATATACACTAATATTGTTGATATGCATATAGATGAGAAAATCCTCAATAAAATATTAGCAAACTGAATCCAACAACATATAAAAAGGATCATGCACCATGATTGACTGGGGTTTACTCCAAGGATACAAAAATGGTTCAATATTGGCAAATCAATCAATATGATACACTACAATAACAAAAGGAGGGATAAAAATCACATGATCATCTCAATAGAAGCAGAAAAGGCATTTGACAAAATTCAACATTGATTCATGATTAAAAACTCTCATAAAACATTGATTAATGATAAAATCTCTCATAAAGTTGATATAGAGGAAACATATCTCATTATAATAAAGGCTTTTTATGGCAAACCCATAGCTAACATCATACTCAATGTTGAAAAACTGAAAGGCTTTCCTCTAAAATGAGGAACAAAAAAGGATGCCCATTCTTGCCACTTCTATTTAACATACTATTGAAGTCCTAGACACAAAAATCAGATAAGAAAAAGAAATAAGGGACTTCCCTGGTGGCACAGTGGTTAAGAATCTGCTTGCCAATGCAGGGGACACTGGTTCAAGCCCTGGTCTGGGAAGATCCCACATGCTGTGGAGCAGCTAAGCCCATCAGCCACAACTATTGAGCTTGCACTCTACAGCCCATAAGCCACAACTACTGAGACCACGTGCCACAACTACTGAAACCCATGTGCCTACAAACCATGCTCTGCAACAAGAGAAGCCACTTCAATGAGAACCCCATGAACTGCTGCTTGCTGCAACTAGAGAAAGCCCGCTCACAGCAACAAAGACCCAACACAGCCAAAAATTAATTAATTACTTTTTAAAAAGATGAGTTATTAAAAAAAACATATATTTTTTTAAAAAAAGAAAAAGAAATAAAAGGGATCAAAACTGGAAAGGAAGAATTAAAACTGTCACTATTTGCAGATGACATGATACTATCTATAGAAAACCCTAAAGTCTCCACTAAAAATACCTAATAAAACTCATGAATGAATTCAGTAAAGTTGTAGGATACAAGATTAATATACAAACATCTATTGCTTTTCTATACACTAATAATTAACTATCAGAAAGAAAAAAAAACCCAAAATAAAATTCTATTTGAAATCACATCTCAAAGAATAAAATACCTAGAAATAAATTTAACAAAGGGAATGAAAAACTTGTTCTCTGAAAACTTGTTCTCTGACATTAATGAAGGAAACTGAATATAATACAAATAATGGGAAAACATCAAGTGTTTTTGGATTGGAAGAATCCAGTCCAAGCGGTGCTGGGAACTGGACAGCTACATGTAAATGAATGAGATTAGAATATTTTCTCACACTATATACAAAAATAAACAAAAAATGGATTAAAGACCTAAATGTAAGACCTGAAACCATAAAACACCTAGAAGAGAACATAGACAGAACATTCTCTGACGTAAATTATTGCAATATTTTCTTGGATCTGTCTCCTGAGGCAAAAAAGAAACAAAAGCAAAAATTAACAAATGTAACCTAATTAAACTTAAAAACTTTTGAATAGAAATGGAAACCATCAACAAAACAAAAAGACAACCTACAGAATGGATAAAATATTTACAAATGACATGATAGATAAGGGATTATTTTCCACAATAAATAAACAGCTCTACAAGTCAATATCAAAAATTTAAAAACCCAATAAAAATGGGTAGAAAACCTGAATAGGCATTTTTCCAAAGAAGACAAACAGATGGCCAACAGGCACATAAAAAGATGCTCAATACCATTAAAATTAAAGATATGCAAATTCAAACCACAATGAGATATTACCTCACACCAATCAGAATGGCTTGTCATCAAAAAGACCGCAAATAACAAATTTTGACGAAAATGTGGAAAAAAGGGAACCCATGTACTCTGTTGGTGAGAATGTAAATTGATGCAGCCACTATGGAAAACAGTATGGGGGGGGGTCCTCAAAAAATTAAAAATAGAACTACTGATCCAGCAATTCCACTCCTTGGTATATATAAAAAAAAAATTTAAACACTAACTTGAAAAGATACATGCACCCCAATGTTCACAATAGCATTATTTCTAATAGCCAAGATATGGAAACAACCCAAGTGTCCATCAACAGATGAATGGATAAAGAAGGTATGGTGTATATATATATATATATATATATATATA